CCATATGAACAGGATTCTTCCATCCTTTTCTCGGACTGGGACTTGTTCATATACGTTCTTGGCAGATGATCCAGAAGTGGTTTGCCATTGCCTTCTTCTGTGTGTGAATGGAGTAATTGTTGGGATGCCACGGAGGAAAACTCCGTGTTGCCTAGACCACGGCCTTCCCCAAAACAAGTTAAAGCACGTCTAGGAGAAGGAAATTGTAATCGATAATTTTGAAGGGAAGAGATCACTTTACAAGTAATAGGCTTACGTAATAGTAGGATAATATTATGAGGGTCTGGACAAGACACATTTAGGTCGAGACAGGAACTGATAATTTCTTCTTCGAGTATCGTAATAAATTTAGCTGAGCGAATGTTAGCCTCTGAATTATTATTCTCCGTGAAGTTAATGGCTTACGAGCTATAACGTAAATTTATTTTATTTTTGGTTAATAAATAGTTAAAATTTTAAATAATTAATTGTCTGTCTTTGAAATGTCTTGGTTCTAAGCGCACAAGAATAGTATTAAATCCGTAAGAATTTGCACAGGACAAATTTATTTTAAATTTATGATGCATATCAGCGTTATCACACAAGAATATTACACACACTTATATTTTTATAAGTATTTCAAAAGATTCTAAACACAGGTTTTGTCTAGGATGTACCAAAAGAGAATTCGCAGAAGAGCCTATGTTGAATGTCAAACATCAGTATTACGGAATGTTTTAAATTACGGTGAATCGAGGAAGTGGACACAGATATTTTAATGTGTAAATAAACGGAGAGAACTTCTGATTAACTTTGTTTTAATTATTGTGCGTAAAATGCCACGTCCACAAGATATTAATGAAATACGAAATTAACATCTGGAGACTATGAGTCACACGAGATTTTATTGGGAAGTTTAAGCTTTGAATATGAAAAAAATTTGCATGTTACAATTAGATACCATGTTCCATGGGAAACTGAGAGATAGTAAATGTAAATGAGATGTTGATTCCTAACCAAAATTTAGATAGTAGTGGGGAGACCTAGACGTAGATGGGAGGATAATC